TAATTTGTATGAATTATTACATTTTGAATTTTTTACTTAGAAAAATCTTTGACTCGGTTTGTTTTGTCCTCCACGGTAGCTTCTGATTCATTTTTGGACCTTTGAGTATAAATTAAGTGTTTGTAAAGCACTGATTGGCCTAAAACATATTATTTTAACGAAAGTATTAGCAAACCCCCAGAGTTTGCTTTAACACATTTCAATATAATCGCAAAAAGAAGGATATAAGCCTGACAAATAATGTAATTCTTCAAAATGCAGACATTATTTTACTCTAAAATAGTAGACATAAATCCAATGAATAAAAGCTACCGTTGTCATGAGGGGAAAAAGGAAATAGGAATTGATTAAAAACTGTATCTTTTTTGTTTTCAAGGGCTCACAAGCTACACTAATCTTTTTGCTTTCACTCATTTGCACATATTTCCTTGTAGCATAAATACGTCCAATTCTCTTTTCCAGACAGCTCACAAATGAATTTCCTTCAATCTTATTCTCTCAAATTAACAATTCGTGTAGCAGTAAGGATGAAAGGCTAACAGTAAAATGGAAAAGAAATTTCGTAGCAGGGTACCAAAATATTAGAGAGAGAGAGCAAAGCTGGCATCAGAGGAGCCCACTGCCCAGTCCTTCTCGAGAGGCTCCCCCCCCCCCCCCCACAAAAGAAACATCCCACAGCATCATTGTTGCGGTTTTTCTTCTTTTTTTGAGGGAGCGACCTGGGAGCGTATCCTCCCCCTCCCTTCCACGAAAAGTTCTGCTAGCTTCATCCATGTGAAAGTCAAAAGCAAGCGAGTTAAAGTAAAGAATCTTCGCCAAGACATTCCCTTGTAGTAAGAACTTTAAAAAATCTCCTAAAAATTGTAAATTTTAATCACTAAACTCACTATAAAACTGTTAAAATTTACGGAGAAGGAAACCCTTTTTGCGTATGGATTTACGAGAGGTTAAATTTAATTAAAGTAATCGTGATTAAAACTCTGGACTTTTTTTACTTTAATACTGTGCATTTGAGAAGAATGTATTATGGAACTCGCCCCTTGGGTTCGAATCTGCCGCGAAATTACAATCCAAACATGCGACGTGCGCGCGCAGCAGAGCCTCACTTTTGGGCGCCTCATCCCTCCCGTGTGTGGCACCCCAATTTTGTGTGGCAAGTCTTACGTCTGGAGCTGTTATTGTAACTCACTATACCTTAAACTTAAAGCATATTCCATGTTGAAGCTCACTGAAGGCATTTGAAATTCATTTATGGATCTTTTCTTTTAATCATTTTTTGAAGTGCATGTTATGTACTTCCATGTAAACAATTGCTTGAATTATTTTGAAGCATTATGATGAAACAAATTCTATGAATCCGTTGTGATTTCAATTCGGGACTTAATTCTGACTGCATTAGTTGTCAAGCAAGTTATTTTGAAAAATGAAAAAAAAGTTGAGCGTGCCTCACAATTTTTGTTGCATTTTGTCAATTGTCTTCAGCTCTCAATGCATCATCCATCAGAAAAGCTGTATATTTATTGTGGTCTTTGTTTTCAGAAGAGCCTTTTATTTCTTTTCTTCTTTAAATTAACTTAAAAGTTTTAACCTCCTTAAACAGCTTTGTCAATATATATTTGCCGTAACATTGATGATGTTAAAAATATGTTGTAGGCCCTCCTAGAAACGGAAGTGGACACAAAGAAGAAAAAGAAAAAACCAGGTCAAGCCAAGGCAATGGAAGTGGATGGTGAGAATAAAGCATCTGGAGAGACTAAAATGGAAGTTGACGCTAGCGCTTGAGCGCCCAAGATTGATAATCTCGAACTGGTATTCGCTGGAACAGTTCACCACTCACTTCTTGTTACACCCCTGTCATCTCCGTTGTTTTCCCCCCGTACTATTATTTTTTATTTTTTATACAGCTAGTTTCATACGAAGTTTTTAATTTCCATCTCATTTAGTTACTTTTGCATTCTTTTTATGTAAAAAACTAAATCACCTGTTCAATAAACCTATTTATCAATCTGTGTAAGTGGCAAGTCTTCTATTTTTTCAAAGCGAACCTAGAACTTGGCCTTCCCTCTCTTTCAGAAAATGACCCTTTGCAAGCCACCCTACCTGTGGTCTCCTCAGTTAAGGGTCAAAGAGTTCTCAGCACTCTTTTTCATCTTATAAATTTTACAATCAACAATTTTTGGGTCTCCTCAGTTAAGGGTCAAAGAGTTCTCAGCACTCTTTTTCATCTTATTAATTTTACAATCAACAATTTTTGGGGTAGCTTCCTTCTAGATAATGACATTGAACTACTATGAAGAGACATTTAAGCAGAAGTAACGCCATTTACCCCAAAATTAACACTGTTCTCGTGAAAAATGTTAGTGAAGAGTGACAGATTGGAGTTTTGCTTTAAAAAGGAATCTTTTGTGACCTCACGATACACATATTCTTACAAAGAGAAATGAAGAGAATGAAACAAGGTTATTTTAAATATTTTTTTATTTATTTTATTTTTTTTTCTCATTTTTACAAATAGCACAGATCTTTGTTTAGACTTCTAATATAAGTTAGAGAATCACAAAAAGGAGTATTGCATAAGTTTTAAGTACAAATTTGTCGAAATCTTTTCATGCACAAGAGTAAAAATTATTGATACCTAAGTTAGCTCAATGGAGATCAAATATGTACCTACAATATAAAAATGTTTTTCTGGCTCATGGAAAGTAAAATCCTCATCTCAAGTTTTTTTTTTTTTTCAATTTTTTAAATAAAACTACAGACCATGTGTTAGCATATACAAAGCAGATAGCCAACAATGAATGAGCTATGAGTTGCGGCTTTCTAAATGTAGGAAAATTTAAACGCCTTATAGGAACAGAAAATCTTAACTGAGCAATTATACCTCAGCGTATTTTTAAGAAATTAACAGATGAAATATGGGATTTCCTCCAATCACATCTGACAGGATACTTCCAGGAAAAGTTCTATAAATTGTGGCATGGGTGAGACGATTTGACTACAATTGAAGCACATCAGCTTACAGGTTTCATTTTTAAAATTTTATGAAGAAAACGCTTTGATATCCAGCACATATTGCACCTGCTTACAGTTGAGCAAATAATGATACATCTACTTACTGTTAGCCAAGATTTCGTTACAGTAATATATCTTCATGTACCCAGATGCATTTTTGGGTGAATAAAAGCATGTATTACCTACTGAACTACAACTTGGGTTACGCAATTAGTACATACTTATTCAATTATTAAGGAAATTAAACAATTTAAAAAGTTAAAAATAAACTTTGAAGCTAGGCTGGAATTTTTTTCAATACTGTTGTTGAGAATTCATGTTGGAGTCAGTAATTACAGTAGATTCAATTTCTTTTGAATTAGACAAAAATAATAAGTGTAGAGCTGATGATAAGGAATTACAATTTAGTCTGCAGAGAAAACACCTGAAGATCATTCTGCCTTGGTTAAAACAATCAAAACTCCAACAAACTCAATTATATATACAGTTTATAAAACATGTCACATTTACAACAAAATATCTTACACCCTTATCACTGATTAGATCAGTTTTTGCGGGAGTGTTACATGAGTTAAGCCACTATGCGCAGATGCCTGAGCGCTAGCAAGCACTGAACGACAGTTTGGAAAATAGTGAAAGTAGACAGATATTGCAAATACAGTGACATCTGTGACCTGTGTGTATAATGACCAAACCTCTTAAGACGGAGGAAGGTTTTTTAAGTACCTACTTATGGTTTTCGAACAAGTCCACAGAAAATGGATACAGACAAAAATGTTATTAGGAGGTCGTTTTTTGCAATGAGCCAGGCCTGTAATAACCAAACACTGAACTGACAATGCTAAAATAAAATCATTTCCAAGAGAAAGGGCAATAAAAAATTCATTTTCAAACACAAGCTCATCACCAAACTGAGAGATGGTGACGTTTCATTTAAGTTTCTTGCATAGCAATGAGTAATTAAAAAATAATAATGGTTAAAATTATGGCAGAGAAGTTTCCAATTTCATTTTTTAAAAAAATATACCTTCAAATAGGACAGAGATAAATAATTTCCTTTACTTTTGGCACAAGGCTGATCACTTTTCCTGACAAAAATAAAAGTCTCTTAACTTGTATGATGTAAAATTTCTTTTAAAAAAAAACATTAAAATTTCTTTTAAATGATGATACAAACTTTCCAAGCTATATCTTAAATTGTTCGTGCCTGCAGAGGCTTGCGTACTTGAAAAAAAGGAGATTGATTTAAAATCTATCCTACGATTCTCCGGAGAGCAAGGCAAAGTTGGCAGCTACTACTCACTTACATTAAAATTATACAGACCTAAGAATCATAAGAGCCAAAATTTTTGGGCTGAAAAAATTAAGTACAAAAATATAAGTCTACAAAATCTTGATAAAATTAGTTTTGAAGGCATGTCTGTAATAGCTAAAATTCTGGATTACAAAATATGTAAAATTTTCATCCCTGAAATGATACGTAGATAGGTATGTAAGTACATTAACTTTGATAAAAACCTGGTTGCCTAAAAACCTAGGTTTTGAAACAAAAACCTACTGGAGCTAAGCTGTTAGATAAGTTGGAATGCATTTTGCAATTTGGAACTATACATTCTGGCTCTTCTGGAAAAGCACTTCTGTGTAAAGGGAAACTATGTTGCGGAAATGTGTATAGGGCACATATGTTTATTTTAAACTGGGCTCGAATCTATAGTTCCAAATTGCAAAATGTAGTCCAGTTGATAATTGAATACTCTTGACTGTTATGCGCAGCCATCAATGGATACTGACTTGCATAACATAGGTTTTTAGACTGTGTCTATAAAACATACAAGTTTTTGATTATAGATTCATCATAATGAGTTAAATTTTTTTAAAAAAATGAGAAATAGAAGGAAGCTCAGGAATAACTCCTTCCTTTTCTATTGGGCAGTCTAATTTTCTTAGCATCTACACACAAAAAGGGGCAAAAATTTGAAATTTGTTTATAATCATTTCAGTTACTTACCAGGATTTACCACAAAACTCACTTCCAGACTTAGAGACTAAAACTAAGATATAAAGTTAGAAAATTTTCTCAAAAATGAGATAATCACAGCAAGGCTAAGTCTATAGTACAAAACACAAATGATCAACATAAATTTTAGGACATTTTATACAACGTCTAATCAGGAGATTCCTTCGCTCAAGCATTTGAAGTACAACGAGTTTGAAAATTCAAGTTCGCTAGTTACAGGAAAATAGTATCCCCCTACTTTTGAATAGATAAAAGCTCATTTCTTCCTTGCCAGAAGTTATTTGCTTGATTAAGAGGAACCATGTTACAGATTTGTTTAAAAAGGAAAAACTTTAATTGACCAATTAGAGTGGCAGTAATTACTTTAGTTCATTTTTTAATATTAATTAGATAATTAGAACTTATGAAAGGTGAGATTCATAATATGGGTACATATTTTACAAAATTTAAATAAAAGAAAAATTAGCTCTTTAAGAGAATTCGAAAAATAAAGAGAGAAAAAAAAAAAATTGAGGAAGAAAATATTTCAGGACCACATCTGCTTGTAAAGCTGATGAGAGTGGGAAGACGGAGCATTCAGAGGAGAGTGTGAAGAGAATTGTCATAGATGCATGCTGGAGTGGAGGAGGCACGCACCCACAGAAAGTTGCTCAAAGCCAAGGTACTAAAATGACTTTTTGTCACTATTGAGATGAATAATAAAATCTTGCAAACAGTTTCTTATGCGGAGAGCTTGATAAGACTAGCGTAGCCCCTAAAGAAATGGGGGGAAAAAAATTCATTTATTCATCTTTCTCATTTACTATTTCTGGGGATATTTTATTCAAACAAGTTGTTCTTCATGAATGCCTGGTGAAAAATAACTTCCTAGATCAGTCCGCAGCTAGACGGATATAAAATTAGGTATCTACAGAACATTTATACAAAACATTTTACAAAATCTTGAATGTACAGCTATTAATATTGCTAGAGGATTAACAATTATACTAAAATTTATGTACAGAGCTTTATGTATAAATAAGATAAATAATTTACAACAATTTGGTCCATTCCAAAAACTTCCCAAGGGGGAGAAAATATTTAAAGAAAGTGAGACTGTTAGCTTTACGAAATAAAATTGCCTAAAATACAAAAATATATTACCTAATGGCAAGTAAATTTTCTAAAATCTTACTACCGTCAAACATATTTTGAGATTAATTTAAAAACTTGGTAAATTGCGAGACACATATTAAAAATACATGACTTCAAAATAACAGCAAAGGAAGTTTACTTTATGTGTTTCATGGATTTCAAAAAGGATTTTTTGAGATAAAATTCTGAAAAGAGAATTTCAGGTCGAGGTCATGACTCAATAAGTATGCTCCAGGAAAAACTGAATTTATAATGACAAAAGTTACCCCGGAAGCCCAGAAAATGGTCTTTCATTTAGCTCTGAAATCGTGGCAGGTTAAACGTTCTTGTAACCTTGAGTTTACAACACCTTAAAAGAAAGAAACCTAGGCTAGGTGCGAAATTGTGAGGATATTCGCTTATGAAAAAGAAATTCACGTCCTTTGAGACCTTGAAATAGCTATAGTTATGTGTGGAAGCCTGTTTTAAAAGAACAAATGAAGATCAATCTCCTATTAGTTACCTACACATTCCGGTGTAAGAATAATACAGTTTAGGGAAGACTAATAGTATTTTCACAAAAAAAATTTTTAAAAATGAGACAAAACCCTTAACTTCTCCCCCTGGTTACATAAACTCTTTTCCAAAAAAAAAATGATTTTTTAAAAAAAAAAGAAAAACGGAAAAAAAAGGAATAAATTTTTAAAAAAAATTAAAAACAATTTAAAATGGAGCCCGGGCTTTTACGTTAAGCACTTGTAACCGTCAATCCAGCGCACAACCACTAATCAAACATAAAAAATAAAAATTTGAAAAACCGCACTAAACAAAAACAGTTAGCATATCTAAATTGTTGTTACTACTAGACGTCCTTTGTAACGGGGTGACTGATGCCACATTTATCTGTTTTAGCGACTCTTTCTGTGGAAACGAAAGCTCGCTTTTCATGTTTTTCACCATATCTGCATTTTGTTTTTTAACAAGTAAAACTTGGCTGGAGCTGGTGCCACCTTTGAGGTCACTTTCGCAGATCATTTCTAACATCTCAGCGCTAGCAGCTGCTGATAGTGGTCGGATGACGCTGATTTTTGGACTCAGCTCTCCTAGGCTTCCGCCTAGACTGCAGCTCATCTCGTCCTTAACTGGATTGGTGTAGCGCCTCAGGTTCTCCTCGTTTTGGAGATTGTTCGACTTCTCATCATCATGGTTCCTCGAGCAGTTGTCCAGGCTACGGGAAGAGAAGCGATCAGCACCCTTTGCAATGGAATGCTGCAGGTAGATTGTGATGAGCATGACTATGGCACTGGCAATCATGATGACAATACAAATGCTACCCAACCAGAAACTTGTTCCTGAAAACAAATTAAAACAAAAATTACAGATTAAAAGTTTGGTAAGGTACTGTACTTCAAGTTTGCTCATTTATCCTAGGAACGGAGTTTTTAACCATCCAGTTGTTTAGTTGCTTGTTGTGACTGTAATTTATACTGCAAGTACAATTCAATAAAAAAATTTGGCGAGAACACGGAGTTGATTTTACGAAGGAGTATCTTAACAGCGAGGTTCTCGGTATTTCCAAAATTTCTTAAGATTTCATTTCAAATTATTTATTTCATACTTATCATTTTCTTAATTAAATTACAAGCACAGGAAAATGCATCATAGAATTCAAGCAACTAAACTTACATTTTTATAAGCTACTAATTTGGAGTCTCAACATTCACTGCATTTCTTAATTTTTCTATACCTTTTGTTGGGTACACTGAGATAGTACTTGAAGGTAGATCTAAAAAAAATTGCATTTAAAGAATTTCAATCAGTATTTTACAATTTTTTTGCATTTTTAAGAAGTCATAAGATCTGAGCGATGAATTTTAAACTTTTATGTCAAATTTTAGAGGGCCCTTTCAAATGTTTGTGACTTCCTGCAGAGTAAATTCCGAGAGCTCAGTGAATTGAATTGTTAAGTATTTGATGTTTTCAAGAGACTTGAGATTTCTCCTCGATATCCTAAAATTGGTGAAAAAACTAGGTATTTAAAGAATATAAATACTTACCGAATGATTCTTGACTAACTGTTTCAACTTTGACTTCAATAACGGCACTGAGAGGTGATGATTGACTAGCTGACTGTCGATGGCTGATAAGTTCGCTAAGAACGTGAATACCCTCTTTCACAAGAGCACTTGCATCAGTCAGCTCTTGACTACAAGACTGAAACATGAACATGAACGTTTCATAAAAAAGACCGTCATCAAAAGATACAAGATACATTGATAATGAGAAACACGTCCTTTGCATATTTCACAAGCATTGTCATTCCAAAGATTTTTAACCTGTACTAATGGTACTGACCTTTTTCTTTTTTTTCTGAACTTACAGGGAGGAATTAAATATCAGTAAGTGATTGTACGTGAAGTTTTAACTTAGAAATTTCTTGCTTTCCTAATTAAAATATCCCACCAATTTAGGGAAGAATATTCTACCCTGAGTGATTCATACTGAAATATGTAGTTGTTAGGGTCAAACTAGTCACAAGGTTAAGTTCCAAAAACATATTTGAAGGAAAATAGATATAAGTAAAACAAAAATTATAGGTGACATAAAATAAAGATCATTGATGGAAAACTTACAACGGTTATTTCTAGTGTGTCATTTGACCCTTGCTTCAGGTCACATAGCACAACTAGTGGAGATTCACTTCGGACACTGGCAAGATGAGCAACGAGAAGTTTGCGCAATTCTCGACAGAGTGTTTCGACTCGTACCGATGGTTCCAGTCTGATGGCACTTAATAATAGCGAGAGCCGTGCACACGAATTAGAAACAGTCACTTGATTGGGCCAACAGGAGGCTGGAGCAGGGATTGAAGGTGGTCCAATTTGACGACCGCTGAGTAAGTCTCGACATTCACCCCATGGACTGCACGGTGGTGTTAGGCAGGATTCTTGAGGCGATGGAACACAAACCTACGTACATACCAATCATAGATCAATGAACTCATTCGAAAATTACAGATATTTTAGAAAGGATTCTTAAAATTCTTAATTAAATGGGCAAATCAGGCATTTGCACTGATAAGTGAGGGAAAGATCATTCGCTTTCTAATATGTTGAGCAAGCCCCAGTTTAATCATTTCATGAAAATTGAAGTCAGCTTCGGACATTGCTAGATTTTTGTTTTTTATTTGTTGCATGCCAAAATCTAAGCAAAATGCCAGATATTTATCTGCAGTAAATACCGATTTTTACTGTTTTGGCTCTTTCACTGCTATATTTCTTTATTGATTCATAATATTTTTGAGTGTTCTGCAAACACTGTGAACCTGTGGATGACACGCTATTGTACAGCTTGTTTATTTTTCATTTTCTGAGAGATCAAGAACTAACCTGGTTGTTGTTACAGGAAGAAGTGTACTCTTGACAGTTACTGAAGCCACACCATACTGCAGTGCATGAAATACGACCGTTCAAACATGTACAGTTGTTGCAGTCGGAGAACCAGACAGAATTGTTATCGTGATACTGATTATTCATAAAACACATTCCTCGGTACAAACTGTCTTTGTCAACTGTAAAAAAAAATTTTTTTCATTAGAAAATTGTTTGATTTTATGCCCTGATATGAACGCCAAATGTTAGATTCAATTATCCAAGTCAAACGATTGATTTTTACGTCAGATACCTACTTTCTGCTTTAAATCAAGATTTTTAAAGGAGATTTTTTCAAATGCACGACTGAAATTCTGTTCTACGCATGATTTCTATGCATAATGGATCTGTTTTATACCAAAAATTTTGTGTGAAACTTGCATTTGAGCAAAAATATTACTTTAATCCATCCCATTTCAGCTAAGTTTACCCTTTCCATCTGCTTGTGCACATACTGTAGGAAACTGCTATCTGCGTAGGTATACAAAAAGGGTAGACCTATTTAGAACTGGATCTATCTCTTTCATTTATACTTGATGCTTCATACATATTTTTACAAATCCACTAAATTTAAATGAAATAAAATAATCAAACATTACCTTCCTCACAGCGAGAGCCTTTCCTTCCCTGAGGACAGATACACCTAAACGAAGCGATCCCATCGATACACGTGGCTCCAAAACCACAGGGATTTGACGCACACTCATTGATATTGGTCCGACAATCAGGACCTGTGAATCCTTTGGCACATTGGCAGGTGAACCAGTTGACTCCATCGATGCATTTTCCACCGTTGAAGCAAGGCGGCGGATTACAGTCGTTGATGTTGTGTTGGCAAAGCTGGCCCTCGAATCCTTCCTTGCATATACATGAATAAAAGTCCCCTGTGTTTACACACGTTGCGCCATTTTGACATGGGTTCTCGTTGCAGGCATGTGTTTTAGCTGGAAAAGGAAAAAAGGGTATTAAGAACAGAAATGGAGAAGAGCTTTCAAAATGCAAGAAAATTGATCAATTTATGCATTTCAGTGAAAAACTACAAAATTAAGAGATAAAAGCTTCATTAAGAATAAAATTGAGAAAATCCACTTTCTGTCAACAAGAATTCTACTTATTATTATTTAATTAAAAATCAATCAAGATAGACACTTTTTCGCGTCAGAAGTTCAGAACATTATTAAAAAGATTCTAAAATAAGAGGAAAATTAAGGTCATTGGCCTCTCTGAAACCGTCCGTAATACCTTGAAACTTGCTTTTTGACTACAATTCCCAGAAATTAAGATAAACTGATGCATGACGCACATAATTCGGTGTTGAACACACAAGTTCGAGATGAAGATAATGCGATGGTTGTCAGGGACTCCTTCATCAATTGAAGTCACACCAATTGATTTGTGCAAAGTGCATGACAGCCAATGAAAATTGTTAATTTTTCACAGCAATTTGAGGAATCTTAACAGAGTTTTTTTTTTTAGACTTTAACTCAAATTTTAACTTCGAACATACCGCTGCCAGCTTACTTTCAAAAATTTTTACTGCATTTAAACCTACAATCCCTGCTGAATTTAATTTTCTTACTTTTCTTTACTTACCAATATGACAGGTGGTACCCTCCCAGTCAGGTGGACAGTGACAGTGAAACTTGTGTCCTAGATCTGTGCAAGTGCCTTGATTCTGACAAGTGCCCTGGTCACAATGACTATGTTTGGAGCTGCACGTCCTGCCTTTCCAGCCATCCTGACAGGTGCAGGTAAAATCAGCATCTCCGTCTGTGCACGTCCCATTGTTACGACAGGGGTTTGGTTCGCATTCGTTTTTGTCTGAAAAAATTTTCATTGAGCAGGTCAGTTTTTTGTAAGAAAGCCAAATGAAGTCAAAAAGGAATCAATGTGTTGAAGGAAAGAAATTAAATCACAGTGATACTGTTGATCGGTGGTTAAAATTTAGCTGATACCATTTTTTCTTCAAAAATTTTTTATAAACTTCAATTTTGAAGACCTCCTATCATACATCATTCTTTACATTGAAAGCTACTCAATGTCAACTCTTGAAACCTTTTATGAATTTTTTTTTTCTGTGTGAAGAATACTCAAAGAAAAGATTGAGCAATCATGTTGAGTCGTTCTCCTTTAAAAAATAAAATTAGGGGGCGGGTTTTGAGACAACAATAACGAAATACCTACGTTGTTTAGGAGTTTCACCATCAAAATACAGTTCCAATTTCCTTATCAATTGATCTCTTGCTAAATTTTCGAGATTTTTCTCAAGTCAGCTCACTAACTGAAAGTATAATTTTACTGAGGACTTGGTGTGTGGGAAATAACGTGTGTACTTTAACTGTTGAGGCTGGCTGAATTGGTGAAAAAGCCTGGATTTATCGAAATGACAATTTGGCTTACTAAGGGAATAGGACACTAGTCAATGTAAAGGTTGAATAAATGTACACCTCTCCTCTCCGCCTTGCTTTTCAAATAATACCTGACTCATCCTCCCACGATAATGGACTGACACTAACAAAAAGTCTGGTAACAAACAATGATAATTTACAGGTGACAGAAGCACTGGAAACCTTAACATAATGGCACAGACAAAAATACTCACTGATGGTGCAGACTTCTCCTTCCCACCCATTTCTACAAACGCATTGAAATGAATTGAGCTTGTCGATGCAAGTTCCTCCATTTTGGCAAGGATTTTTTTCGCAGTCATTTATATCTAAAAAGTAAATAAACAAATGAAAAACAATTAGAAACTGACGCAGAGCTGATCTGACCGTGTTGCAAATTACATGGCATGAAGTGGAAATAAACAATGATAATTACAGATATCTTTAAGGACTTACATAAATAAAAATATCTAGACTCTCGGATTAGAGTTAGACTAATTTTTTCAATTGATATTTTTGATACCCAATCGGTATTAATTAAAACTGGTTTCTGCATTTGACTCTTGTTAATACATACTTAGGTAGGTAAAATGGCTGAATGCAACATTGACCACTAAAAAGTTTTTCTTGTAGGAATGTAGGTGTGCAGTTTTTCACATAGCAATGGTCAGGCCAAAATGAAAGAATGAAAAGAAGTAGGTTGAATCTATATCCGCAGAAGGAAAAATATATTAAACAAAATTGTTAATTTAATATATGAAGATTTTGAAAACATAGAACTGCATTGAAAAATAATGCAAGATTAATTTTTTTAACCTGAACTGATTGCTGATGAATTGATCAGCATTTGCAATAAATCAGTCGGAGAGGAGCCTCTCTCGACAAAAAAATTTGTATTGGCTGTGCTTGAGCCAAACTCATAGTTGTCTTATGATCATTTTGGTGAAATAAGGATAAATAGAATGATAGAAATAAAAGCAATACAACTTACTTTCATGACAGTATTTCCCTGTGTAACCAGGATCACAGGCACAATCAAAACCACCATTCAGCAAGCTGATACATCGACCATGTTTTCCGCAAACACCTGAGGGGATTAAGATCGCTCCAGTCAAACTGCTGTTAGAGGGTGCTGGGACAGTGCAGCTATCAACAACTGAAATACACAAAAATCGAGTGTTAATAAAAATTTGACCTGGTCTGGTGAAATTAGAAATTTGAATTCCTTTCACTGTTTTAAAAAATATGTATATACCATTATTAGAAGAACGGACAGCGCAGCAACAGCAATTTGGGGAATGACAGTCTCTCCTATCTCAGAATGCTGTTATCTCCTTTCAGGATAATCATTTATTGGTCAATGAATTGTTCAAAAATTAAAGTCTCTGAATTGCAAAATGGGATGGGCTCTTTGCTGGCAATTTTAGATACTCATCAAAATTATAGAGGCCAAAATATCCTGGAACAAATTTGCCATCAGAAATTAACCCTTGATTATTGGATTAAAAAAAATCATTTGATTAAAACAGCTGAGAGAAATTCGAAAGGATAAAAAACTTCAAAATAGGTTTCTAACTACAGAGCTGCATGACTAAATCTAAGCGATTCAGCGATAGTCTCAAAGGATGATTAATCGAGAAGAATGCAAATCTTTACTTGGCTGCTGTGGGAACACATCATTGAAGTAATTGCTCTGATCAATTTGCGCTGATCAATTGCGCTGATCTTTCCTCAGAGAATGAATGCTCCAAGGGGGTCCAGACTTCCTGCAGAGCTTCTCGATGCGATTCTGTGACACTTGGTTGCCAAACTGCATATGGATCACTTAGATTTGAAGTTTTGGGGTTTTTGTTGGGATCTTATGACAAGAGGGAGATGGAGATTGAGATTGATTTTGGCGGAGACTTTTAAAACTTTTGAACTTCTTCCCGTTTGTCAACTTACCTTCACAAGGAGGAGTCAGACACGCATGTCTTGCCAAGTCACAATTTTTTCCTTCCCATCCTTCTGCACAATGACATGTGTAGTCCGACAGGAAGCTGATGCAAGTTGCTTGGTTTTTGCATGGGTTTGGATTACAGTGATCATGATCCACCTAGAATGGTCATTACATGGTATTAATTTTACAACACACAAGGGTATGGTGAAAAATCTACTTTGGTTGTGTCAGGACCATTCTCAAAATTAGAGAAAGATGTATAAATTTCAAACATTCAAAAATTGTTCAGTTTAGTATATTTGTGATTTGAATCAGTTTTCAGAAAACCTGTTTGAAAATGTATGCTTCGCAACAGCTAACTCAAATTTATTAAAAAAGTTACCTCCTCCCTATGATTTTTTTCTTCTAATGCGTTAGATGGCTAAAAAAAGAGAAAAACAGAATTGTTTCTACGAGTTGACATATATGCAAGGGAAGTTTAGGTACTATGGATTCTCTATGCACATCGACTTATTTTGCCTACATGCATCCAAATATGAGATGCTGATTTGAAAAATTTCAAAGGGAAATTTCACTGAAATTTTCTTCCATCACTTAGTGAGTTCAATTGCTTTAGGCTTGCATTGTTATGACTCTATAATCACTTTGTGGTTATATTATTTAATTATTTAGACTTGTATCAATAATGATTTCTGATCAATTTTGGATCTTGATCAGTTTTTTAACAATTTCGGTTTTTTAGTCTCCAAAAAACATTGATTCTGAGCACACGAAGGCTAAAAATATTGCAAAAGAGTTAACTCAACAATAAAATTCAATACCTCACATAGATGTCCTGAAAATCCAACTGGGCAGATACATCGGAAACCGTTCACTTTATCTATGCAGTCACCACCATTTCTACATGGTTCACCGGCGCACTCATTGATATCAATTGTGCAGTTTCGTCCTGGAAACAAAGGCAGATTTTTCATCATTAAAAGGGTTTCTGACAGAATGCAAAAACGTGATTGACCGCATTTTCTATGTTGAGGTACCTGGTATCTGTTTCAGTGTTGAGCAGCGAATTATGCACTACTATGAGGAGAATTATTGAATTCTGAACAGGTAAGCATACACCTATATTGAAAATTCTGATTACCCATAAGCACAGTTATAGGAATGAAGTAAGATTCTGACATTCGTGTTCTTGTACTTTGAAATAAATTTTGTTGACTTTTTAAAAGTTTCCTGGACAAAAAAAAAATGTCTGATTTGAAAAATGCTGGTGATTGATGCTAATGTTTGCCACTCTTCCAGTTTGTTGAAAGTAAGAACAGAATTTTGGCGAAGATTTTGCCCTTATGTAAGCTGAACTCCACACATTAGAAACACCTAATGAGTGTATTTGATACGAACACATTTATCAAGTGAATGAAATTTGTGAATAAAATTTGGGAGTGCAGCTCTTTTTCACTGATTAATCACTTGACTGCATCAAAGACCGCAAGTGGCAGATGCTGCAAGTAATCAAAAGATAAGTAAAATTTTAGAAAGAAACAAAAATGACTTACCACTAAAACCAGGGGAACAGGCACAGTGGTAATCATTGACCAGATCGATGCATGTGGCACCATTCATGCATTGTCCGACACAATCGTTGATATTAACATCGCAATTTTTACCCGACCAACCGGCTTGGCATTGACAATGGTAGTCGCCCAGCAAATTCTGACAAGTCACCGCATTCATACACGGACTTCCTTGACATTCATCTGCATCTAGAAAACAACAGGAAATGAAACAAAATTAAATTCTCTGCTGTAAAAATTGTAAGAAACTGAAAAATGTAAAATGATTCGAACACTTCTCTCATATGTATTCGTTTGTTTTTGGTAAAATGAGACGTATACAATAAAACTGATTACCCACCAGGATTGTTAGGAAGAAAAATTATTGGGGTGACACTTCATCCATTATCAAATAAAAACATCAAGAGTGGAGAACAAAAAATAGAGAAAAATGTCAAAAATGGAACGAAATCACACGTCCTTTTAGATGTTAGAAATAAGCTTTTTCCTTTAGGCATTATACGCTTACTGGACAGAAAATTGAAAAAAGAGAAAGTCAGACCAAGAAGTCAGACATAACCACATAACCTCGGAAATAAAATGTGGCGAAAGCACATCAAGGCGCCAACCGAAAAATGCACTGCCTGACGTTACTGACGTGTTGTTCAAGTTCAAATAAATCAGAGATCGGATTCTGATTGGTTTCTTAAGCGAATCGAACTGCAGTAGGGATAGAAATTTTATAGGTGCAAGGTGCAGAGAAGATTTACTCAATTTAAACATCGTCAAAATATGTTCGTCGCACAGCTCAACTTGCTTCGTTACGAGTACGACACGCACGTGCAAGACAAAAAGTATCACTGCACAATGAAGGCGTTTTGATTGGTGACAATGGACACACCGAGCTATAGTTCGACTTATTGTTAGTAGGAGGAGCAACAACGATTCGGGTTGAATAAGGGGCTTCGAGGAGAAGACGATTAAGTGCAGCTTTCGGCAAAATTGAGATATTAAGGATTCCAACAACAATTCATTGTTAAATTTATATTCGGTGAAAAACTAAATACTAAAATCCAATTTTTAAGCATCAAAAAGAGACCGTGATTTTTCTTTCCGCCATAAAGCTCCATGTAATTTTGACACTTAAAACATGTATTTCTTGAAATAGTAAAAATTGCACTTATGCGCCTTGACTTCTAAACCCCTTACATGGAAGATGGAAACTTACCGAACTGACAGATATTTCCCTCCCAGCCGGGCGGACACGTACATCTGAACCCGCGAACCATGTCTGTGCAACTTCCACCATTTTGACACGGCTCGGAACTGCACTCATCCACATCTGAAAAATCACAAACCCGATCAATTATTATCTACTACGTAGGAGAGGAAAAAGATGAAAAACGATTACATTGAAAATGAGGAATGGATCAGTTGTGCTGGTCATAGAATTGTGTTTCGAGGCTTGATTCTTGTTGATTAGCTAAAAACAATAAGATCTGTCCGAACCGCAACGTTCTGCGTTCAATATTAACCGAGGTATTCCCCATTGAAAAGTCGGGGTTTTGACGCCATCCACCGCGGTGGTAACACCCTTGGTTTCAAATTACAAAAAAAAATACCTGAAAAGGACTTTCTCAAACATAAATGGTAGCAATTTTATAAGAAATGTCGTTTCAGAATTTTTTTCAGAATTTCCAAGTTTGTTACAAGTTTTTTTTAACAGTTTTTGTTATTAAGATTTGCGTTATTTCAGCAACTCAGCTGAATCTTGCGAGTTTGGCCTGTTTTGAAATCTTCCGGACATTTTATGCGACAAAGGAGAACATACAATTCGAAAGATCTTTACACCTGCGAAAACTCCTTCAATTTATGGTGGAAGCAAATTCAGTGTTTGAGGAGTAGGGTAAGTTGCATAAGAGACTAATAGAAGGCGTTTCCTAGCGGCGCGCAGCCTCAGAGTCAGAGCCTAAAAAATTGCAGAAAATCCAACGGGGTGAACTAAAATTGGCGCTAGCAGGATATCCAAGTTAGATGGCTCAAGAAGAGCCTACCCACCGAATGAAACCCTTGGAACCAGCGGGCCGAATATTGAAATTGATAGACAAAGCTATGGGCAAAGAAGACATAGGGAGTATGGAGCGATCCTATTGGTTGCAACTGGTGGTTCTTACAGACTAAAGGGGGAAATGATGAACTAACTGTCGAGTCTCTTGTAGGTTACCTTTAGTTAATCTATTACCCCTTTGTCCATTGCAACCACCCGCCTCCACCAATAGGATCCCTCCACATCCCTTTTGTCTATCAATTTCAACGATCAGCCTGCAGGTCATCAATTTATCTTCCATTGCTCCGTGATGTGGTGCCGACTGCCGACTGCCGAGAACCAGCGTGCGGACGAATCGATGCTTTCCTCTACGACCCTCGGTAGCCAATCAGTGGCCAACAGTGCTATTTCAATTTGATGGACCGAGATAAATGGGATTCCGATTCATCAAGCATCTTCCACAAGTTTTTGAATATATTGAATAATACAGATTTGGGTGCGTACTGATGTCTCAATTTCACTGTGCGGCTGATCGCTCGAGCCGGGTGTCCGAGGATGAAGACATGTCGGCTCAATTTTTCACAATTGCCGTCGCTCCCAACTCTGGAGCACTCGCGGAGGCAGACGAAGCCTCATTTGAACGCAAGACGCAACACCGCTGCCCCCCTCCCACCCACACTCCAGGGTAGGGAGGGAGGGGGGAGCACAGCTGTGGTGGTACCACTCACTCGGCTCCGTGCTGGGTATAAATAAACTGTAAAAAATTCTGACTTCTCCGCTGACAGAATGGTGCGTGGTGCGTGCCCAAGAACCTACTGGGTGCACAGAAAAGAGATAGCTAAGATGGAGCCGAAACTTTTTTTATTTAATTTTCTTCTTTAAAATACACCCAGAACTGAACCAGAAGTTGGTAGGGGACGTGAAACTCTCCGAGTATCAGTACTACGTCAAATATGGTCGGAGATCAGGTGCATATCGCGACTTACAAGCTGTTCCGTTGGTTCGTTGCCAACTGAGCGCCGCATTTCGCGATGATACCACTATTCGACCACGTGAGAGCTTGTGTTGCCTGCACTATAGATTGAAGGCGAATCTTCCCGTTTGGCAAAAAGTTCTTCCTTGCGTGTGGAGTAGGCGAGCTAGTTTGCGATGATTCCACCATCTGACCAAGTGGGAGCTGGTGTTGCCTAGATTCAAATTGAAGGCGAACTGAGATGGCATTAAAGTACTGAAATTGAAGGCAAACTAATGTGGCATAGATGTTCTCTTTCGGTCTTTCCCCGATTTGTAAAAACCTACTTTTTGCACCTGAAAAAGTAATCATCCTCTAATTGCGACTCGCTGATTCATCGATCATCGTAACTCAATTCATGCGTCTGCGCCTGACCGCGAGTCCTCCCTTGTCTACGAGGTCTCTCGCTGCCGCATGCCGTTCAACTCGCAAGTAACAGATCTATTGATTTTGTTGGAATAATCCAACTGCGGCGTCGCACGGAAGTCTCCTTACGGCTGCCTCAACTCAGTTACTGGTAGATACGTAGTAATGAATACTTGAAAGCTTGTCAGTAATTATTAGTCGAAAATGGAGGTAATACCAAAACTTTAACTCTGTGGGAGGCTTTGGAAGAGGGGTGCGTGAAGTATTTCGTCTGTCGGGAAGCCGCAGCGCGGTGTGGCGACTCGCAGCATGCGGTGCGGCGTGGCGAACGAGCAACTTACAGGGTGTCCCTGATTCAACCAACGGAATTTCAAGGGACAATTCTTGCAGCTCAGATCAGGTTTTTCTCCCGATGAACGTGGATCCTGCAGTTAATAACCCCGAAGCTACCGGCTACGCGTAATTCGAAAAAGTTTCCTTTCCGAATTTGGGTGGTTTTTTGGGCCAATTCGTCGCCCTACTGACGTAAGGACGTACCTCAATTTCCACGTGAGCCCCAGAGCGCATAAAGTTATACAGAGAACAGGGCTCGCACAACTAACCAATGTAATTTTCACCTGATATTTAGGTAAGGTACTAAAAAGTAACTCTGGCTCTAGATTTTTTTAACAATCTACCAAACCTGTCCCCAGAATTTGAGAAACATTTATTTTCATTTTTTTTTTCTTTTTAAACTTTGGGATCCGAAACGTCAAGGCAATCAACTTCCAGATCTATGTACATACATACATATACGTCGCTTTATACAGCACTCCCTCGCGCTCTATACGACTCCTAACCTCCACTGCTCTCTTTCAAACCACAAATATCTTGGGGCATTGAGCACCTTAACATTTCCGCTTCAATCCCTTCCCTCCAACCTTTCATTGGGCGCCCTCTGCGTCTTCTCCCAGGAGGAACCCAATCAAGGACCTTCTTCGGCAACCTGTCTCCTGCCATTCTCTGGACATGACCATACAGATCTATGTTCATTGGGGAGAAAAAAACTCATTTGGGGTTGAGGAGCGGTCCCCTGAGATTCCTTGAAACACCCTGTATATTCGGTGGAAACCCGGGACAAGCGCGCGGGACCGCTGGGAGCGAGCGCTAGCGGCGAGCACACGGACACAGGGCAGACGCGGGACGCGGCACAAGGTGTATGAGGCTGCGTCTGATCTGGGTTTCCGGATGACCGGAGTCCGGAGTGATTGTTATTAAGTAATCTCGGGCTGTCATCTCGACAATACACGTCACGACCCGACCGGGCCGGTAATAAAACATAATTGGCGGCCGCGGCCGGCTACGGACCCAGGGATCCAACCTGCGCCTGCGCAGTCCGCGCCGCGCCGGGGCTCTATGCTCCCTCCACGAAACCCTATTATTTTCACTCAGTTTTAAATTAATTGGATTCCTCCCGGGAGACGGGGGGATCCCGGAGCCGGGCGGGGCTTCGCGGTGCCCCCCTCACGAGCCCCCCCCTCCTATCTTTCGCACTCCGACACTCTTTCTCTCCCCTTCGTGCATACTTGCCTTTATGCACTTTTCTCTCTCCTCATCCCTTGTTCCAGCTCCGTTTTCTGCATAATCTCTCTTCGTCGTCGTTGCTATCAAACGGCTCATTCATTCTCTCTCCTTCTACCATTGTCCCCCCCCCCCCCCNGTCTTCTCTGGCTTGAAATCCCCTCTTAACGATGTTTTTCATCTCGTCTCTCGCGTCGCGTTTTCTTCCCTCCTGCTATCCCCCATCAGTCCATCTCTTTATCTTTCCATCGCTTTCCTCAACTGTGCGCTGACTACCTAAAACGGTGGCGAAAACTTAAAACTCTTCTCTCATTGCTCCGAGCGGGGGAAAACGGAAGGTGATGGCAGTTGCTTTTGTTAGTACTTTTTTGTGATCTCTCTTCTACCTCTCCTCTTGCGCTCTCCAACTTAGTTCGAACTTATTCTCGTCTCTCTCATTAGCACACCATTCTGCTTCACTGGAATGATCACCAAAAATAAGTCGGTCATCGTAGGCCTGCGCTGCTTTTGCCCATATCCGAATGGGGGCCGGGACACATCAGCTGTCAAGCTTCGTGCTAAGGAGTGTGGTGCCGATCACTTAAGGAAGAACTCGCCTCACGCCTTCATTCGAAAAACTAGGCAACGGCTCCTACGCGTTGAAACAGGTGTTTCCTCAGATATGAACCAACGTGCTTTGCGTTCTCGTGGGGCTTAAATTGAATACTTATTTAAAGCCTTTAAACCACTTATTTGTAAATTCAATAATATACTTTTCATTTTTTCGTGTTTTCAGTTGCAGAAACATAAGTTTTGTTAACCTAAAAGCAAGGACTTCGCCTCAATACTTTGGTCTCGAAATGGGCACGACTGACGTGTCAATGCGACGGAGGTATACGTTAAGAGGAGATTCATTTCCATGGAATTGACGAGGTTTTTGTATTTCCCGCGCTGGTGCGCAACCAATCAGGGACCATCGCCTCTCCAGGGTCTCCTTTATCTAGTTTAGTTTACTTGTTCATTGTTCGACGTCATCGTCATGGCCTGAGAGTGTAATTCTGATCTCGAGAAACTATAAACTGTTCACTGGAAAAAAAAACACATTGGATCTAGAGTCCAGACTCTTGAAAACATTGACAAGAAAAAATACTCTTGATTCAAAACGAAATCCGCTTAAATTAAGAGGTTTGGTTCTTGATTTAAGCTAGATTCTGATTGAATCAAGAGTACTTTTTCTTGTCGATGTTTTTAAAAGTCTGGACTCTAGATCCAATGTGTTTTTTTTCCAGTGTTCAATAATGTACCTAGATCATTGGTATTTATCATTCAGAATCGTTAAAAGAGCATTTTCACCCGCACAAACTTAGTTCCCGTTTGA